TTGTTGTTTCTACCATTGTTTGTTGTCATGGAAATATCTGAAGGCTTTGAGTATAGAATGATTATGGTTTTATTGTGGAGAGATGATGAAAGTGGAAAACAGACTTCAAGGAAGAGATCTCCCATTTAAAAATTATGCAGTTCCAACAATTCACAGAAAAGCAAATGCAGTTTTTTGATTATATCCGGGGGCAGAAGATGTTTTGACTTTTATTATAAATGTATTTTAAGAACAGAAGGTAGCATCTGGTGTATGCTTTCAAAGGTTACAGTTTAGCAACTATCATCAGTGAGTAGCACTGATGAAATAGTGGTAATCCAGCTTAATAATGTAAAACCCAGAATGTGCTCAAGTGACTTTACAGTTGTTTATAGGCAGCAAACATCTGCAAGCAGACTTCAAAATAGTGCTAGTTTCTTAATCAGCAAAGCTGTGCTCTAACGCCCCTAACTCAAAGGCATCCATCCGTTTCAGACTTGGCTTTTTGCTGTGCTTCAGCTCATTGTGCCGCTAGGTCACACCCTGGGCCTTAATGTCCCTCTTCGTTTGACTTGTTCACCAAGTAGAGAGAGAACATGGTTCATCGGTCACAGGTATGTTTGCTCTGCGTTAAAAGTACAGAGTATTTATTAAATAATTTCTGGCATGAAAGTAGTAGATGTATCCCGCATTCTTTGAATACCATTGGACATTCTTTCTAAAGAAGATCTACAGGTTTAGACTCAAAGCTGTCCTGGCTTTGGATGGAGATGTTCACCTGATTTACATGTGTTTATTAATATCCATTATGATTTGTGTTCTGTTAGTGCCAGAACACGCAGGATGGGATTGCATAGTTAATTATTCCCGGTCATACTTTCTTGTTGATACTTCTATCTCAGGTTAAATGGGGAGTGATAACTTGGCTCAGTTCACCAGCAAATCTGCAGTTAATCCACTTTGTCTTAACTACTTAACCCAGTAGTTATATGGGCTAAATACTCATGACTCAATACAAATTGAGAATGCCACGAGCTGAAGAATTCACAATCAAACAAAATCGAAAATATCTTGAGGAGGAATTTGTGCCTTGGATTCTATTGTGTTTAAATTCCAGGTTTCTGAAAGGCAGTTTGAATAACTTTGGATTCTCTCAGCTAATGCTGTGAGTGTTAAATACATGATGTGTTCAGTGCAAAAGTATTATGTGCATCAAAGACAAGGAGTGTGATTTATATTAAGTCTGGTAGAACAGCCCATAAAAATGGGAAGCTGCTTAAACTGAGAGGCTTCTGCCATAAGCCACAGCCCCGTCTCGCTGACCGCAAGCAGTTTGACAGCACTTCTGTCATGACCCAGTGTCCCAACTCGATGTCACCTCTAAAACTTTCAGAAGAAATTAATGGAAATGTCTATACAGGTTCGGATTAGGAATGTCTCGGGAAAAGGCATGGTATTACAAAGCAGCAGTGATGTGGTGGTCCGGCAGTTAACTGTGGTACCCTGGTAATCACAGGAAAATTAATGATTTTTAACATGTGACATAGCATGCAATTTCAGTCTGTTAATAGAAAAGTTATGGAGAACCAAATTTTGCATGATTCCGATGAAAAATGCTATAAACTTCCCTGTAACTCTACATGAAAAAAACCTCAACCTGTGAAAATTGGATCAGAACCAATGACATCTTAATCTATCTTCCATTTCTGCTACTGAATGGCAGGTGCCTTGGAGGGATGAATGAGATCTTGTCTGAGTATGCTTATTTATGTTATATTGATCACTACATTCAGTCTTTTCTTAGACCCTAATATTTAGATGTAATCTGAAGGCTAAAATTATGAATCTCAAAATCTTAGTGTCTGAATCAGGCTTTTTAACTGTTTGCATGGAGTACAACAAACGCTTCCCTGATCCTGCTTGGGCAGTGAATGCTGCTGCAATACAAACAACAATAATTACATTTACTAAGGCAAAAAGAGGCAGAAAATAGAAGTCCGTTTCTATGAAGTAATGAAAGGTACAATAAAAGCCAGTTAGCTGGCATGTCCTCTTTCCCATGGAAACACCAGAAAAGAGAGAACCCTCTGCTGAAATAAAAGCAGTCTCTATGAAAGGAATAATTTCTTTTTAAAACCTGTGGGCATCCCTGCAAGTTGGGGCTGCGGTTGCAGGGGCTGCTCCTCCCCGGTGATGGCATACTGGTTCCAGTGGGTCTCAGTGTGGATGGGGAGAGCTGCACACACAGACCTACTCGTCTGATTACCGAGGCTTGAGGCATGCCCATCTGTTCCAAATAAAGCCTAACACAAACACTGGGCTAAATGTATTTAGATTATGAGTCCATTAGGGAGGCAAGCATCCTTTTGTTAATCACGTAGATGTGCAGTGCGTAAAACAGCGATGTGGGGGTCTGCCAGAGCCCAGTACAGTGAGAATAAGATAATATTGGGAACTGCTAAGAGAAGGCGATGTCAAAAGGAGACACACAGAGGTGAAATAGCCCTTGGAGTGGCTAAGGTGGGGGCAACATTCCTGGGGGTTTGTCCCCCAGGAGCAACTGGTTTCCCTGCTGTGGCACGTTGCTGCTGCTCCAGCTGTAGCCCTTCTCTGCACACGCAGGACGAAACCACCCCCTCTCCCATCTCAGGGCTGGGGGTCAGGTTAGATGATGCCTTCATGTCTTGTTGAGTTTCCATTGTTTGCTTGGGTTTCGTACCTTTTTTTGGTTGGGGCAAATTTTAGAAGTGGAGCGAATAGACCAAACAATAACCCGTGTTTGCTTTTGGGGCAGGGAGTGCATTTCTTTTCGACATTAGGGGATCTCCAGTTTACTGCTGCTTTACAACATCTGTGTAAATGGTCCTTGTCCCTCTGAATTCAATATATCTTCTACTGTAGTTTGGTAATGGGTAAGGATGAGATGTTTTCCTACTAAATAGATTTCCCAGTGCCTTAAATAATTGCCAAAGCACAGGAACATAAGAAGAACCTCAAGGGAAGTGCTCAGTGTTTTCTAGTCTCTGGTCATGAGATCATTTTCAGTGATTTCTTCACTGTACTGCTTCCAGATGCTGTTCACCAACTAGGGTCTGGAAGCCAGTTATATGGCATTACACAATATGGCATTGCTCAGTGGTTTGCATTATGTCCTTTGCATTGCAACCGTTTGTGGCATTTAATGGATTATGACTGATACCAACCAATGTCAGAGAAATTATTTCAGACAGGGTTGTTGTTTGTTATGGAAGCCATAGGATGACACCAATAACCACTGCAAGACTAAATATCTATTTACTGAAAATGTTTTATATAAAATGCATGTAGAAAAATTACAAAATTTACATGTTACCACAACCTACATCCACAAATAAAAATTTGCTACATTCGCCATTCAACATAAAGTGAGATGAAAAGTATGATTCAGGGTGCAAATGTGCAAACAGAAGTTGCTATATCTTTCCATTCATCTTCAAATGTGTCCTGACTGATATTGCTTGATAATCTCCCCCAAGATAATATCTGGCAAGCATGCCTTTAGATTATTCAGAAATAAAATATGATTATTTGGTGTGATCCCTGTTGCGATATGCTCTGCATGCAGAGACCAAGAATATGTACATTTAGATAAAAAAGGAAGGTAATGCCAGGGAGCATTCCCCAAGCGACAGTGGGCATGGTGTTGTATATTGAGAGTTGAGGAGAGAACATGGAGCAAAAAAATCCGTGTGTAATAGTTTGTCTTAGCATCAGCTGTGAGTTTGTGGCGTCCCCCACGGTTTCCTTCCAGTCCTTTCTAGCAGCCATGACTCCTACATTATACAAATCGCTTCTTAGCCATAGGGAGGGTTTCTGACTGTAAGCTGCCACCAGTAAATCCAAAATACTTTTTCACAGTTCAAATAAATTTTCTTTCAAATAAGATAAATAAAAATAACAATTCTAAAAAAAACCCCAACTTTTTACTCTAATAAATTGCTAAAAACCCCCTCAAATCTGATAACATGGGTCAATCCTGTGGTGAGATCAAAAAGTCCGGTCCATTTGCAAGAACTTACAAAAGTCATTTCTCTAATACAGCAGACATCCAGATATGTAGGGAATGGCTTTGTTCTCCCTAGCCTTTTCTGGCAGGAAGAAAATTTCTGAATTAAATTCTGAAATCAGAAAGAAAACTGTAGAAATATTTTGTGTTCTCTGTTCAAACAGATGATTTGAGAATGGGGCAAACCAAAGTGTTCCAGTAAATGATGAAGAATTTCACGTATTTGATTACCACTGAAAACAGCATATGTGATGCTACGTTAAAACAGCAGACAAAAGTTAAAAATCATCATTTTAGGCTTATGGCAGTGTGTTTCTTTGCCCTAACCTGACAAAAGGAGAATATTCCTGAAATTCTTCTCCTGCTGCTCAAACACAGGTAATTTAAGTGAACCAACGTAACTGCTTTTCTGAAGGACAAAATAAATGCAGGGGCTTGTGTCTATTCATTTCCTCTTGTTGACAAAGTAGTAAGACGAATGATGCATGTTTACTCGTGAGGCCCATATACAAGGGCTGTACAATGGTTTAATTACCAGAATGTCGAGGTCAACGTGAGGGTTCCCACGGCAACCTTAGCGTACTGAAAAAACAGACAAGCAGATTTTCTTCTGGCATCATTCTGTTGGCGTAAAGTAACATTTGCAGAACAACTGTCTTTCTTTCCCTCCATTTTTTTTTTCACTTTCACCTTCTTTTCCCCACTGTTTTCTCTGAACCTGGACAAAATGCATTCATGGTGCAAATTGGTATACGCTCCACTGACAATGCTGTGGATGTGCTGATTTATGCTACCTGACTTTGCTGTGGATCTAGCCCACAGCTTACACTTGCAAATCTTTTTTTCCCGACTTTTGCTGTGGATCTAGCCCACACAGCTTACACTTGCAAATCTTTTTTTCCCTTTAGGTTTTTTTTTTTAATATAAAATAGTCCTACTCATAGAGTTAAAAAATACAGTGGCCAGTTTTAAAAAAAATGATTTAAAAAAAAGTTATGAAAATTTTCCACCCATTCCTAAAAATAAAATAAAAATCAAAACAGCATTACCCAAATTGCAGCTCTTGTTTAAGTACAGATAGTTGTGTATGTTTTCCTTAAAGTATTAGTCATCGGGGTGTGTTATTCTGCATTACATCCTACCAAATACAGGCCAGTAGAAATAAACATGGAAGAACCATGTCATGCTTAATTCGTGGCAAATGCCTAATAGAATTCAGTATTTACAGAAAAACACCTTTTTTCTGGATCAAGTACTTGCTGTCAACAAGTGTAACAGCAACTACATTACTGAATCTATTGGAAGCCTGGTGAAATCTTTGCAGCACAGCAATTAAGTAAATAGGCACTATCATAACGTGCTGATCAAAATACTGATTGATTTCAAAACCTCTTCTGTGCCATTTCAGCAGCTGTTTTTATGTACAATACCCTTATTAAGACAGACTAATGTGTTTACTCAAGCCATGATCCTGAAAAATGCTTAAGCACATATTTAATTTCAAGCATGTAAATACCCTGATTTAGTCAGACTGTTCGTGTGCTTAAAATTAATTAGGTGCTTAAGTGCTTTGTTAGATGAGATGAAGACGTGCAGTTTGAGTTTCTGACGGCCTTTCACTTTTGTAAAATTCAGATTCAAACAAAAACTTCCAGAGTAATTCCACGGGCATCCAGGAAGCAGTACTTCAAAGGCTCCTTACAGGAGCCGAGATATTCAAGATGGGGTCCCAATGGAGGCCACGAATAAAATTTGATGTCTAGTCTCAGCCTCAAGAAACCAGACCCAGAGCATCCTCCATCCCACCTGCCGTGGCTGAGCTGGTGTGGAGCATGTCTGTGGAGGTGGTGGCGAGCGCTTACCTGCCTGGGGTGCTGGCCGAAGGTATCATCTGTGGCGTGTGAAATCCTCGCACGTCGCCAGCCTGGCTGGGCAGCGAGCCGTGGTGCCCATGCTTGCACAAAGCATCACCATCCGCAGCTGCAGCCAGCTGCTGCTGCTCCTTCCCGGCTGGTGGGAGAGTACTCGGCACAGTCGGACCTCACGCTGAGCGAGCTGAGAAAGGGGAGTCTGGTATTGTCGGTATTGCTACAGTGTTTGCTTATTATCCCCTATTTTCTAGAATTTTAAGCTGGTCCTGACTATGAAGACTGGCTCCTTTGGAGCATGATTTTCATCTTTTAACCTATCATAAAGGCTCCAAAAAAACTTGCTTCTTTGTCCATGTCAACTATGTCACCATTACTGACAGAAACAAAAATCCTGTCCTCTCTTTTCAGCTGAAACACACCACCTTGGTAGATGGAGTAAAGTCCATATTCTGCCTTTTTAGACCAGCAGCTTGTTCTTGCACTTTTCATGAGCAAAATGGGCTCTGGGTAATTAGTCAGTTTGTAAACATACTGGACAAGCTGTTTGGGGTTCCTAATTTGTGCCAACAAATCTGAATCCTCGTTCTCGTTTTCACGGAAACGAAAATAAGTTTGTGAGTAGATGTAATAAAACCCGGTTTGGGGTATCACTAACTCGCCATTTCTCAGCTCCACGTTGTACAAGAAAGAGTGGCCTTTCCTTGACGATTCCCAGTTGTATATTTTTTGTCCGTTCCCTCTTCTGGGTGAGGAATCTACTTGAGAAAAAAGAGAGAAAATGTTAAATTAAAAGCCAGGTAGTGAAGCCAGGTGTCTGCTAGTCGGGGAGACTGGTTTTTTATAATGAAGTAAGGAAACCTGCTCTTCCCAGCAGCTCATTAGATCCATTCTCAAAACAATTTGAAGGTCCAGATGTAAGCTGTTTAGCTCTATGTGGGAATTCACATGAACTACTTTTATTTTTAATTTTTGTTCTCCCAAATAAGAGGAAAATCACCATGTTGTTACTTAGTAACAAAGTTAAAATATCCATTTGTGTCTGATACCCTCTAAAGCCGTAGAAACCCTCCCAAGCCTTTCATTAATATGGCCTGAATGTCAAGCCTCTCCTGTCTCTGTCTCGCATTTCTAATAGGTCTGTCACCATAGCAGCTGGGACTCACACAACTAACAGAAGGAAATTAAAGGAAAGAAAAGAGGAAAACTTAACATTAGGAAGAAGAGTATTTATTTTTTTTCCCCTAATGAAGGTTCCAGAAGAAAAGTTAGTGAGGTGCCCAGAGGGAGTGGGCTTTCTCCCTGTTCTGCAAGAAATAGCTCAAAAAACCATTGTCTGGGACAAGAAGACTTTTTTATGATTTGTTTCTTACTGTTAACTCCATGTGAGTATTAAAAAGTGTATGTAAGCATCAGGCTAGCAAGGAGAGAGTAAGTTCTGTGATCTTTAACTGTTTTCAAAGGTTTTTCCTTACTGCGTGGGGACAGGGAATTCTTCCTATTGCTGTTGCCCGTCAGATGCGCCGCGATCCTGTTGATGGGACTGCGCGGTGGCTGCTGCCCATCGGTGTGCGACAGCGTCAGGGCTCTTTCAGCTAAGGAAAGATCAGAAAAGGAACCTCACATTAGAAGCGAGAATGTTAGAAAGCATGTCTGTCCCCTTCGACCTGATTTTAAGGAATATGTATGTCTTTTTTTTTTAATTGACTAAATCATAAGAATGCTATATACTGGCTAATAAGGCTCAAATTTCTCTTTTACTCTTGCTCTCCTTGAAATGTCTTTATATGCCTCTCTGTTCTCCTTTTTCTCCTCCCCCCACCCCAAAATTACTAATAGACAACTTAACCCATAGTACCAGATTTTCACATTCATGATCAGTATCTTTTATGGTTAAGTATTCATAATCTTTACTCTGAATTTCCACTCGGAGATCGTAATGCTTTCGCTCAACATGTTTGGAGCTGTACGAGCTTCAGCAGAGCTATTCCTTAATCAATCTATGCATACAGCAGTTCAGTGCTGCTTGTTCCCAGGAGAGCAGACTGCTTAAATGTCCCCGTAACACTGTGGGACTGAGGTCTAGAAGCTGAGTCCTCTGCATCCACCTTGGCTACCTTGCTCTAACCACTTAACCATATTTCTGGCTCCTGAAAATTTGCCTTCTAGTAATAAGTAATCATTTTTCAGTAACTTGCTGCCGAAGAACTGTGTAACTGTACAAGATCTTAGTCGCTGGTTTCTGCACTTTTAAAAAATTCCTTCGGCCGCTACACATCAGGTGTCACTAGCAGCTCCTTTTTGCCACAGATAATAAAATTATTATAATACCGTTGACTGCAGATATGTTTTCCTCGTAGCTTCTCGACATCATCTGCCAACAAACACATAGAAAACAAATTAGTTTGTCAGCAGAAACTGATAGGTGCAGGAAAAAGACACTCCTTTCTCAAACTCATAAATAAAGGGTATTCTGGATTTGATCAACAAGCAAATAAAAAAAAGCCTATTAATTTGTTGTAACCAAGCACTTCTACATTTACATCTTTTATGTAACGAAATATGTGGGAAAACGTTTTCAAGAGAGCTCAGCCATCTGGGCTTTAAGTCTACTGGAAAATTTGACCCTCGTGCTCTTCTTACCTAAGAGATACAGTGTACAAGTGTCAGCTTCTGTTTGCAGTATACCTAGCAGCGTGCACTTCTGTGGGATCTTGGCTCTGGGAAATTAAATTTCATTTCTTTTTATACCTCTACCTATCTATCTATCTAAGCCCTTAAGCCAGCATATCTTACTTTGTGCACTCCCCTGCTTTATAACTGTTTGCTGACGGCTGAAATGAACTAGTTTGGTTACTGACGGTGCTGCAGCAAGCTGATGGTTTGAGATGATTTACCTGGTGGTTAGTCACCCTGGGTGACTAACATGGGCCCTGTATTGCCATTTACTGATGGGTTCTGCCCTGCCACATTTCCACTTACCTATCTAGCCGTCCATCTACTATTATTATTATTATCATCATCATCATCATTGTCCTTATCATTATCATTTATTATTATTTCTGGCACCCAGGCTATCTTTTTTTAAGCAATCAGGGAGCTAGTAGGTATATTAGATGTGTAAACGTCCACTAAATACTTTATGCAGAAGTTTCAGGGACTTCACTGGCAGAACTTCCACCAAAGGAGCCGAGATCTCTGAATACAAATAGAGGATCTATTTTGGGCTGCAGGATTTGCCAGGTAAGTTGCAGCCAGAAGTGAATTTTTATGGATGCGCTTTTTTATGTGCTGGAGATGGGATTTTGAAAACCATTCCAGGAGATTTTAGCCTTTCTGATTTTTCAGTCAGGCTTATTTTCTTCTCTGTAGCCAAAATTACATGTATTGTATTTAAGTCATGCAGGAGATGGTGTTCTCTGAATGCTGAGCAGAGAAGGTGCTGTGCCCAATGCTGTGTGCTCACTTGCTCTTTCCTCCCCTAATACATTATACAGTTCATGACTAGACCATTCCTCAGGCACCTTTTTACCTCTCCCTGTGCTACATTTCATCTCATTTTCTCATGCCAGTCTCCCTGTGTTTCCAAAGAGGGAGTGACAGCTCTGATAGCACTATGGTCTGTATGGTCAGGTAGAAAACAAGCTCGAGTCAAGCACTTCTACCCTGAGGTATTTCAGATAAGCCAATCTGTCACTGAAATTAGCTTAGTAAAACCTGATTGTCTTTGCTTTATTATTTCCTGAATCTAGTCAAACCACCGTCAGGATTTTTTTTGGCTTCAGTGCAAGCACTCTGCAGCTGAAGCTGTGGCTTGACTATTGTTTTGCAGTAACACAATCCGAGAGCCCCCCTTTATTCTGCTATTAGGATTTTTTTAATAGTAGTATCACCAAGCGCCACTGTTTCAGCGTGTCAGTTCCCAAATACCTTTTTAATTAACTTTCCCAGGTGCCACTTTACTTGCCAGCAGGGATCAGCTGCTCTGTCTTCGTTTTCAATTAGATCCAAGTTTTGGATGAAATTTCCGATTTCCTCCCCGGTGAGACAAGCAATGCCGCTCTTGGAGTATGTGTCCTGGAGCTGCAGCAGAAGGGAAAGCCAGGATTTTTCACCTGTGATGTGCTTGCAGATGTTCAGCTGTGGTATGTCACCAAATTCACTGCGCTTAGGAACACTCTTTTCTTTAAAGCATTTGCTAGTACGGTGCAAGTTATGAGCATATAGACAGCAGGAGTAGTTAATCCTGATTTTACATATTTATTTAACTATGATGGCATACCTCATATGCAAAAATATACCTACATTATCTCCACGGACATAAATTCAATACCCAAATCACTAATGTTGTGAATTCTTTAGTTTCTCTAGTTCTGCATTAAAAACATTTCTTTTGCACAAGGGATTTTTCTTCACAAATTATTGAGGACGAAATAAAATACCAGACCTTAAAAGTACTTTCCATTCTGTCTTTTCAGCCAATGCCACTTACAATCCAGGCTTTCGTTGATATATATCCATACCGTAGCCTCCCCATATCTAGTCTGGGGTCTCTCTGTAACTGTATTTGACCTAATAGCCCAGAACAAAGTCCAGACAACAGAAATGACATCTGGGTCCAAATAAAATTATAATGCTGAATGCTTGTGACATGGGCCTGTGTCTATACCCTCTAGTCACAGAGAAAGCACACTTTCTTCTGATAAAGAGAAATGAGTTTGAAGAGAGTGGCAAAACTCCTGTTGCCTCCAAGGGCATCCGGCTGGGAGAGTTTGTATCACAGCAGAAAGCTCCTCCAGAGCCCCGCTGCCTCCGCAGGGCCAGGGCGAGGCGACACACACAACTCCAGCTGGCGCTGTTGTTTAATGTAAGAGCACGTAACCTGCGCTGCCTCCAGCAAATGCCAGCAGAGATCAGCTCCTGTTTGCTTTGAACTCGATTGCTGCTGCATCAGCTATAAAGACTGGTAAGGCTTGTGCCAGCAAAGTACTACAGGAACTTGGACGAAACAGCAATCAGCAATAAACATGCAAAACATTCAGATGGACTTCTTGTAACATTTAAATGTCACTCTTGTGTTAAAAAAGTTTGGTTTGCTAAACAGATACATTTATTCTACAAGTACCAGTTTCAGCTGTCCTTGAGGCTAGGGTATTGAAAGCAACAAATGGAGTCACCTCCTCCTTCACACTCCCATGCTTTTCCTGCCTGTCAGAAAACAAAGGCGTTTAGGAAGAGATTCCATGCTCCAGGAGGATTAGGAAAGTTCACCCATATTACCCTGCAAGTCCTACTGGGTTGAACAGCAGCTTCAGTTTGCCACAGCAGACTCTACTGAGCTTCATCTAATACTTGAAATGATTCTGTACTTTGCAGGCATCAAAGCGAAACGGGGCCACCACTATGAGTGTCTGTGAAGGTTTCCATGTCCTTGCTGAGAAGCACAGTGATATTGTTAAATCAGGTTTCTTGTTTCAAGAACCCACTTAAAGTGATTAAAATTATGTGCTTATTAAGGTAAAAACACACTTAAAACTAAGGGCTCTGACAGTTTTAACTATACTAGCTTCTGTAACAAAGTAGTTTGATGAGTTAAAAAAAAAAAAAAAGTGAGCAGATAAGATATTAGTTTATTCTCTTACCAGACCTGCTACAGCTCACCTCTGAGCTTTGCCTCCAATCTGGAAGCAAACAGTCCTGCGCTTCTGCCTTTTCCTTACCTGGCGTACTTTTCCCCCAAACAGCTTTACTATCCTGGCATTGGAACAGTATTTTGCATGCATTTTGAAATCCTCAGGGAATGCAACCTTGTATCAGCACCGTATGGTACTGAAGGACTGCTATTTCTGGTTTATGGGTAGAGAAAGTAAGGCATGGGGATGTTGTAAGACTTATTCAAATGAGGTTTATCTGTAGCACTTTTAAGTTTTTGAGGACAGAAGTCCTGCAGGAACGCTACCTTGTAAAGCTTCTCTCCTATTCTAGGAGTAGTGCATGGACTATGTTTTCAAAACAGAAGGAAGTCTGAGGATACTTTCCTTGCAGCCCTGTATCCTGAAGCATAATGAACTTTATTGTGCTCGTGTCTCAGCACTTCCTCCCATAGCAAAACTGTTAAACAAATGGTCATATTTGTAGTCCTACTCAGATTACTACAGCTGCAGAGAAAAAAAACCCTGCTAGTTATACATTATTCTTTTTGTAAAGAGAAAAATATCTGCAGTCTGTGCAGCCATAGTAATTTGGTGAAGGTGTAGAAATGCAGACCTTGTGAACAACAAAGGGAAGAAAAAAATGGGCAGACAAAATTTGCAGTTTATCTTCTGAGATTTATTCCACATGCACCATGTGGATGTGGGGTAGCAGACTGTGTTTCTAGATAAGCTTTTTCCTTGTTTATTGTGCACCAGATGGCACATGCAAGAATACGTGCTTAAGGTACCCCCTCCAGAGCCAGCAACCTTACTTTGTAGCCCAGCAGAACTTCAGTGTGGGCAGATTTAGCTTTTCACACCACATGCAGGCTTGTATTCTTCAGAAACAGTGAACTGTATTTTGGGCGAGTATCACTAGATGTGGTTGTGTCCCAGGTGTACATATTTGAATAAAAGGAAGGGAAAGATAAGTGTGGTTACTAATTACTTAGATTGGCAAGCTCGTTAGCAAAGGACTCTGAACCGTATGCATGAAGAGACGAGAATGCATTTATATGTTTTTCTTCATTATCAGTACTATGCAACCTGATTTCATAAAATCAACACGTCTCTGTGACTCCCCCATTTCACCAAATATGGGACAGCCACAGCTATAAACTTAGCAGGAAAATCTGTTTTATACATTTCCAAAATATGAGCATTGGCTTATATTGTAGAATACTGTATACCCTTTAACATTTGCTTCACAGAGGACTTTGGCATCTCAGAAGACCCCACCTATTAAATTTGGTGTGGAATAAATGCACAGGTAACATAACATTTTACATTTATGCAATACTTTCTGAAGTTGTATAACTATAGCACACTTACCTGCAGTTAGGTTTACCTTAGTGCCAGGGAGAGCAACATACTGGTACAACTGTACGGCAGGATAGTAAATTTTGGGCAAGACACTCAGGGAAACCCTGAGTACTAGGGGGTCAGCGAAAAGCAGGACCACACACCGAAAGGCTTGTGGGACTATAAAATAAATGTAATTTGCTTGGAATGCAAATGATCTTTCGCAGGAAGAGGAAAGAGTTAAGCAGCAGCTAGCAGGCTTGAAGGGTGGCTGCAAGGAGACCAAAGCATCTAGGCTATACCGTGGGTATTTTACAAGTCATTCTGAGGAATTCAGTGGTGTTTGCTGTCTGGGTGAAGTTCCTTTGGGATTAGTCACCGTCTTAAAACTATGTATTTTCCCAGAGGAGGCATTTAAAAGGCACCTCAGCTTTTCTCAGTCTTTTTTCCCCCTGTTGTCTACATGAGTATCCAGTTGGCAGAGGCTGCTGTTGCAGTCCTCCGAGCGCTACTAACGTTTCTGCAGTGCTGGTGGGGCACCGCAATGTGACGAGATAGCAAGTTTGGCGCTCTAATGAAAAGCACATTTGCTACTTCTCTGCAAAGAAGTGTAACTTCTTTGAAAAAAACAAAAAGGCAAAACCTTTTTAATTGTTCTTGCCTTGAACACTGCCCCCTGCGTGCATACCCACGGCCCAAGGATGTTGTCTACGAGTATCCAGTTGGCAGAGGCTGCTGTTGCAGTCCTCCGAGCGCTACTAACGTTTCTGCAGTGCTGGTGGGGCACCGCAATGTGACGAGATAGCAAGTTTGGCGCTCTAATGAAAAGCACATTTGCTACTTCTCTGCAAAGAAGTGTAACTTCTTTGAAAAAAACAAAAAGGCAAAACCTTTTTAATTGTTCTTGCCTTGAACACTGCCCCCTGCGTGCATACCCACGGCCCAAGGAAAGCTTAGACAAAGGAGCAGGCACACGCACAGCGAAGCTCTTTGTCTGGGGAGCGCTGGGGAAGCTCTGCTCTCCTGCCAAACAAACACCTTGAAGCTGCCTGCAGCTCCGCTCGCATCGCCGGCAGCGCAGCGCAAACCCGCAGTCGGCTTCTGCACAGAGCAAGGACAAACGCCGCGCGGGTGTCCGTCTGTCCTTCCTTTTCTTGGCCAAAAAAAAGGGAGAGAGAGGGGGAGAGCGGGGTCCCCCCGGTTGCCCGCCCCCACCAACCTGTTTGAGCTCGTTGGTGAAGTAGAGG